CACTACTACACTATACACTACTACACTATACACTACTACACTATACACTACTACACTATACACTACTACACTATACACTACTACACTATACACTACACTATACACTACTACACTATACACTACTACACTATACACTACTACACTATACACTACTACACTATACACTACTACACTATACACTACACTATACACTACTACACTATACACTACTACACTACACTATACACTACTACACTACACTATACACTAAGTTGTCTATCTATCTGTGTGTCTCTGTATGTCTATCTGTGTGTGTCTAACAGCGTAAGGACAAGCTAAAGGAACACACTACACTATACACTACTACACTATACACTAAGTTGTCTATCTGTGTCTCTCTATGTGTGTCTAACAGCGTAAGGACAAGCTAAAGGAACACACTACACTATACACTAAGTTGTCTATCTATCTGTGTCTATCTGTGTGTGTCTAACAGCGTAAGGACAAGCTAAAGGAACACACTACACTATACACTACTACACTATACACTACTACACTATACACTATACACTAAGTTGTCTATCTATCTGTGTGTCTCTCTGTATGTCTATCTCTGTGTCCCACAGCGTAAGGACAAGCTAAAGGAACACACTACACTATACACTACTACACTATACACTACTACACTATACACTACTACACTACACTATACACTACTACACTACACTATACACTAAGTTGTCTATCTATCTGTGTGTCTCTGTATGTCTATCTGTGTGTGTCTAACAGCGTAAGGACAAGCTAAAGGAACACACTACACTATACACTACTACACTATACACTATACACTAAGTTGTTTATCTGTGTCTATCTGTGTGTGTCTAACAGCGTAAGGACAAGCTAAAGGAACACACTACACTATACACTACTACACTATACACTACACTATACACTAAGTTGTCTATCTATCTGTGTCTATCTCTGTGTCTCTGTGTCTAACAGCGTAAGGACAAGCTAAAGGAGCACACTACACTATACACTACTACACTAAGTTGTCTATCTATCTGTGTGTGTCTCTGTGTGTCTCTGTGTCTCTCTATGTGTGTCTAACAGCGTAAGGACAAGCTAAAGGAACACACTACACTATACACAACTACACTATACACTATACACTAAGTTGTCTATCTGTGTGTGTGTCTATCTGTGTGTGTCTAACAGCGTAAGGACAAGCTAAAGGAACACACTACACTATACACTAAGTTGTCTATCTATCTGTGTGTGTCTATCTGTGTGTGTCTATCTGTGTGTGTCTAACAGCGTAAGGACAAGCTAAAGGAACACACTACACTATACACTACTACACTATACACTACTACACTATACACTACTACACTATACACTACTACACTGCACTATACACTACTACACTATACACTACTACACTATACACTACTACACTATACACTACTACACTATACACTACTACACTATACACTACACTATACACTACTACACTATACACTACTACACTATACACTACTACACTACACACTACTACACTATACACTACTACACTATACACTACTACACTATACACTAAGTTGTCTATCTATCTGTGTGTGTCTATCTGTGTGTGTCTATCTGTGCGTGTCTAACAGCGTAAGGACAAGCTAAAGGAACACACTACACTATACACTACTACACTATACACTACTACACTAAGTTGTCTATCTATCTGTGTGTCTCTGTATGTCTATCTGTGTGTGTCCAACAGCGTAAGGACAAGCTAAAGGAACACACTACACTATACACTATACACTAAGTTGTCTATCTATCTGTGTGTCTCTGTGTCTCTCTATGTGTGTCTAACAGCGTAAGGACAAGCTAAAGGAGCACACTACACTATACACTACTACACTATACACTACTACACTATACACTACTACACTATACACTACTACACTATACACTACTACACTATACACTACACTATACACTACACTATACACTACTACACTATACACTACTACACTATACACTACTACACTATACACTACTACACTAGTACACTATACACTACTACACTATACACTATACACTACTACACTAAGTTGTCTATCTATCTGTGTGTGTCTATCTGTGTGTGTCTATCTGTGTGTGTCGCACAGCGTAAGGACAAGCTAAAGGAGCACACTACACTATACACTACTACACTATACAGTACTACACTACACTATACACTACTACACTATACACTACTACACTATACACTACTACACTATACACTACTACACTATACACTACTACACTATACACTACACTATACACTACTACACTATACACTACTACACTATACACTACAACACTATACACTACTACACTATACACTACTACACTATACACTACTACACTATACACTACTACACTATACACTACTACACTATACACTAAGTTGTCTATCTATCTGTGTCTCTGTATGTCTATCTGTGTGTGTCTAACAGCGTAAGGACAAGCTAAAGGAGCACACTACACTATACACTAAGTTGTCTATCTATCTGTGTCTCTGTGTGTCTATCTGTGTGTGTCTAACAGCGTAAGGACAAGCTAAAGGAGCACACTACACTATACACAACTACACTATACACTATACACTAAGTTGTCTATCTATCTGTGTGTCTCTGTATGTCTATCTGTGTGTGTCCCACAGCGTAAGGACAAGCTAAAGGAACACACTACACTATACACTACTACACTACTACACTATACACTACTACACTATACACTACTACACTACTATACACTACTACACTATACACTACTACACTATACACTACTACACTATACACTACTACACTATACACTACTACACTATACACTACTACACTATACACTACTACACTACACTATACACTACTACACTACACACTACTACACTAAGTTGTCTATCTATCTGTGTGTGTCTCTGTGTGTCTCTGTGTCTCTCTATGTGTGTCTAACAGCGTAAGGACAAGCTAAAGGAGCACACTACACTATACACTACTACACTATACACTAAGTTGTCTATCTATCTGTGTGTGTCTCTGTGTCTCTCTGTGTGTGTCTAACAGCGTAAGGACAAGCTAAAGGAGCACACTACACTATACACTACTACACTATACACTACTACACTATACACTACTACACTATACACTACTACACTATACACTACTACACTATACACTACACTATACACTACTACACTACTACACTATACACTACTACACTATACACTACTACACTACACTATACACTACTACACTATACACTACTACACTATACACTACTACACTATACACTACTACACTATACACTACTACACTATACACTACTACACTATACACTACTACACTACACTATACACTACTACACTACACACTACTACACTAAGTTGTCTATCTATCTGTGTGTGTCTCTGTGTGTCTCTGTGTCTCTCTATGTGTGTCTAACAGCGTAAGGACAAGCTAAAGGAGCACACTACACTATACACTACTACACTATACACTAAGTTGTCTATCTATCTGTGTGTGTCTCTGTGTCTCTCTGTGTGTGTCTAACAGCGTAAGGACAAGCTAAAGGAGCACACTACACTATACACTACTACACTATACACTACTACACTATACACTACTACACTATACACTACTACACTATACACTACTACACTATACACTACACTATACACTACTACACTACTACACTATACACTACTACACTATACACTACTACACTACACTATACACTACTACACTATACACTACTACACTATACACTACTACACTATACACTACTACACTATACACTACTACACTATACACTACTACACTATACACTACTACACTACACTATACACTACTACACTACACACTACTACACTAAGTTGTCTATCTATCTGTGTGTGTCTCTGTGTGTCTCTGTGTCTCTCTATGTGTGTCTAACAGCGTAAGGACAAGCTAAAGGAGCACACTACACTATACACTACTACACTATACACTACTACACACTACACTATACACTATACACTAAGTTGTCTATCTATCTGTGTGTGTCTATCTGTGTGTGTCCCACAGCGTAAGGACAAGCTAAAGGAACACACTACACTATACACTACTACACTATACACTAAGTTGTCTATCTATCTGTGTGTGTCTCTCTGTGTCCCACAGCGTAAGGACAAGCTAAAGGAGCACACTACACTATACACTAAGTTGTCTATCTATCTGTGTGTCTCTGTGTGTCTCTGTGTGTCTATCTGTGTGTGTCTAACAGCGTAAGGACAAGCTAAAGGAGCACACTACACTACACACTATACACTAAGTTGTCTATCTGTGTGTGTCTATCTGTGTGTGTCTAACAGCGTAAGGACAAGCTAAAGGAGCACACTACACTATACACTACTACACTATACACTACTACACTATACACTACTACACTATACACTACTACACTATACACTACTACACTACACTATACACTACTACACTATACACTACTACACTACTATACTATACACTATACACTACTACACTATACACTACTACACTATACACTACTACACTATACACTACTACACTATACACTACTACACTATACACAACTACACTATACACTACTACACTATACACTACTACACTATACACTACTACACTATACACTACACTACTACACTACACTATACACTACTACACTATACACTATACACTACACTACTACACTATACACTACTACACTATACACTAAGTTGTCTATCTATCTGTGTGTGTCTCTCTGTGTGTGTCTATCTGTGTGTGTCTATCTGTGTGTGTCTAACAGCGTAAGGACAAGCTAAAGGAGCACACTACACTATACACTACTACACTATACACTACTACACTACACTATACACTACTACACTATACACTACTACACTATACACTACTACACTATACACTACTACACTAAGTTGTCTATCTATCTGTGTGTGTCTATCTGTGTGTGTCTAACAGCGTAAGGACAAGCTAAAGGAACACATGCAGCGCATGCACAACCCGGAGAGGGAGATGCTCCTTCGTGTCGCTGTTCGCCAACACAAAACCAAACGATTCCGCCCCAAGGTGGCACCCCACGACTTTGAGAGCTTCATATTCAAGTGTCGCCTGTGCTTGATGGGCTTCAGACGACGTGGGATGCTGGTACACTCACTAGTACACTCACTAGTACACTCACTAGTACACTCACTAATACACTCACTAATACATACACTCACTTATACACTTACACACTCATTTATACACTCATACACTCACTCATACACTCACTTATACACTTATACACTCATACACTCACTCATACAGTCATACACTCATACACTCACTTATACACTCACTTATACACTCACTTATACACTCACTTATACACTCACTCATACACTCAGTCAGTCAGTCAGTCACTCAGTCAGTCACTCACTCACACACTCACTCACACACTCACTCACTCACACACACACTAACACACTCACTAACACACTCACACACTCACTCACTCACTAACACACTCACTCACTAACACACTCACTCACACACTCACTAACTCACTCACTCACACAACACAAAACCAAACGATTCCGCCCCAAGGTGGCACCCCACGACTTTGAGAGCTTCATATTCAAGTGTCGCCTGTGCTTGATGGGCTTCAGACGACGTGGGATGCTGGTACACTCACTAGTACACTCACTAGTACACTCACTAGTACACTCACTAGTACACTAATACACTCATACACTCACTCATACAGTCATACACTCACACACTCACTTATACACTCACACACTCACTCATAGACTCACTCACTCATACACTCACTCACTCACTAGTACACTCACTTATACACTCACTAACACACTCACACACTCACTCACTAACACACTCACTCACACACACACTAACACACTCACTCACTCACACACACACTAACACACTCACTAACACACTAACACACTCACTAACACACTCACTCACTCAACACAAAACCAAACGATTCCGCCCCAAGGTGGCACCCCACGACTTTGAGAGCTTCATATTCAAGTGTCGCCTGTGCTTGATGGGCTTCAGACGACGTGGGATGCTGGTACACTCACTAGTACACTCACTAGTACACTCACTAGTACACTCACTAGTACACTAATACACTCATACACTCACTCATACAGTCATACACTCACACACTCACTTATACACTCACACACTCACTCATAGACTCACTCACTCATACACTCACTCACTCACTAGTACACTCACTAGTACACTCACTCACACACTAGTACACTCACTGGTACACTCACTAGTACACTCACTAGTACACTCACTAGTACACTCACTAGTACACTCACTAGTACACTCACTCACTCACTAGTACACTCACTAGTACACTCACTAGTACACTCACTAGTACACTCACTCACTCACTAGTACACTCACTAGTACACTCACTAGTACACTCACTAGTACACTCACTTATACACTTATACACTCATACACTCACTCATACAGTCATACACTCACACACTCACTTATACACTCACTTATACACTCACTAGTACACTCACTAGTACACTCACTAGTACACTCACTAGTACATTCACTAGTACACTCACTAGTACACTCACTTATACACTTATATACTCATTTATACACTCACTAGTACACTCACTAGTACACTCACTAGTACACTCACTAGTACACTCACTAGTACACTTATACACTCACTAGTACACTCACTAGTACACTCACTAGTACACTCACTAGTACACTCACTAGTACACTCACTAGTACACTCACTCACACACTCACTAGTACACTCACTAGTACACTCACTAGTACACTCACTAGTACACTCACTAGTACACTCACTAGTACACTCACTAGTACACTCATACACTCACTTACACACTGACTTATACACTCACTAATACACTTACTCATACACTCACTTATACACTCATACACTCACTCATACACTCACTCATACACTCACTCACTCACTAGTACACTCACTAGTACACTCACTAGTACACTCACTAGTACACTCACTAGTACACTCACTAATACACTCACTAGTACACTCACTAGTACACTCACTAGTACACTCACTAGTACACTTACACACTCACTAGTACACTCACTAGTACACTCACTAGTACACTTACACACTCACTAGTACACTCACTAGTACACTCACTAGTACACTCACTTGTACACTCACTAATACACTCACTCACTCACTAGTACACTCACTAGTACACTCACTAGTACACTCACTAGTACACTCACTAGTACACTCACTAGTACACTCACTCACTAATACACTCACTTATACACTCACTAACACACTCACTCACTAATACACTCACTTATACACTAATACACTCATACACTCACTCATACAGTCATACACTCACACACTCACTTATACACTCACTCGCTAGTACACTCACTAGTACACTCACTAGTACACTCACTAGTACACTCACTTATACACTCACTAGTACACTCACTCACTCACTCATACACTCACTAGTACACTCACTAGTACACTCACTTATACACTCACTAGTACACTCACTAGTACACTCACTAGTACACTCGCTAGTACACTCGCTAATACACTCGCTAATACACTCACTAGTACACTCACTAGTACACTCACTAGTACACTCACTAGTACACTCACTCACTAATACACTCACTCACTCATACACTCACTTATACACTCACTAATACACTCACTAGTACACTCACTAGTACACTCACTAGTACACTCACTAGTACACTCACTAATACACTCACTAGTACACTCACTCATACACTCACTTATACACTCACTTATACACTCACTTATACACTCACTTATACACTCACTAATACACTCACTAATACACTCACTAGTACACTCACTTATACACTCACTAGTACACTCACTAATACACTCACTCACTCACTCACTAGTACACTCACTAGTACACTCACTCACTTACACACTGACTTATACACTCACTAGTACACTCACTAGTACACTCACTAGTACACTCACTAGTACACTCACTCACTCACTAGTACACTCACTAGTACACTCACTAGTACACTCACTAGTACACTCACTTATACACTCACTAATACACTCACTAATACACTCACTAATACATACACACACTTATACACTCATTTATACACTCACTCATACACTCACTCACTTATACACTCACTCATACACTCACTTATACACTCACTCATACACTCACTAATACATACACACACTTATACACTCACTCATACACTCACTCATACACTCACTCATACACTCACTAATACATACACTCACTTATACACTCACTCACACACTCACTAATACATACACACACTTATACACTCATTTATACACTCACTCATACACTCAGTCAGTCACTCACTCACTCATACACTCACTCACTCACTCGCTTATACACTCACTTATACACTCACTCACTAATACACTCACTTATACAGTCATACACTCACTTATACACTCACTTATACACTCACTTATACACTCACTTATACAATCACTTATACACTCACTCGCTTATACACTCACTTATACACTCACTTATACACTCACTTATACACTCACTAGTACACTCACTTATACACTCAGTCACTCACTCACTCACACACTCACTCATACACTAATACACTCATACACTCACTCATACAGTCATACACTCACTCATACAGTCATACACACACTCATACACTCACACACTCATACACTCACTTATACACTCACTTATACACTCACTCACTCATACACTCACTCACTCATACACTTACTCATACACTCACTCACTCACTCATACACACACTCATACACTCACACACTCACTCACTCACTTATACACTCACTCATACACTCACTAGTACACTCATTTATACACTCACTAGTACACTCATTTATACACTCACTTATACACTCACTTATACAGTCATACACTCACTCACTCACTTATACACTCACTTATACACTCACTAGTACACTTATACACTCACTTATACACTCACTAGTACACTCACTTATACACTCACTAATACATACACTCACTCATACACTCACTCATACACTCACTCATACACTCACTTATACACTCACTAGTACACTCACTAACACACTCACTTATACACTCACTCATACACTCACTCATACACTCACTTATACACTCACTCATACACTCACTAATACACTCACTAACACACTCACTTATACAGTCATACACTCACTTACACACTGATACACTCACTTATACACTCACTCACTCATACACTCACTCACTAATACACTCACTTATACACTTATACACTCACTCACACACTCACTTATACACTCACTAGTACACTCACTTATACACTCACACACTCACACACTCACTTATACACTCACTTATACACTCACTAGTACACTCATTTATACACTCACTTATACACTCACTTATACAGTCATACACTCACTCACTCACTTATACACTCACTTATACACTCACTAGTACACTTATACACTCACTTATACACTCACTAGTACACTCACTTATACACTCACTAATACATACACTCACTCATACACTCACTCATACACTCACTCATACACTCACTTATACACTCACTAGTACACTCACTAACACACTCACTTATACACTCACTCATACACTCACTCATACACTCACTTATACACTCACTCATACACTCACTAATACACTCACTAACACACTCACTTATACAGTCATACACTCACTTACACACTGATACACTCACTTATACAGTCACTCACTCATACACTCACTCACTAATACACTCACTTATACACTTATACACTCACTCACACACTCACTTATACACTCACTAGTACACTCACTTATACACTCACACACTCACACACTCACTTATACACTCACTTATACACTCACTAGTACACTCATTTATACACTCACTTATACACTCACTTATACAGTCATACACTCACTCACTCACTTATACACTCACTTATACACTCACTAGTACACTTATACACTCACTTATACACTCACTAGTACACTCACTTATACACTCACTAATACATACACTCACTCATACACTCACTCATACACTCACTCATACACTCACTTATACACTCACTAGTACACTCACTAACACACTCACTTATACACTCACTCATACACTCACTCATACACTCACTTATACACTCACTCATACACTCACTAATACACTCACTAACACACTCACTTATACAGTCATACACTCACTTACACACTGATACACTCACTTATACACTCACTCATACACTCACTAATACACTCACTAACACACTCACTTATACAGTCATACACTCACTTACACACTGATACACTCACTTATACACTCACTCACTCATACACTCACTCACTAATACACTCACTTATACACTTATACACTCACTCACACACTCACTTATACACTCACTAATACACTCAGTCAGTCAGTCAGTCACTCATACACTCACTCATACACTCAGTCAGTCAGTCAGTCACTCATACACTCACTCATACACTCAGTCAGTCACTCACTCACTCACTAATACACTCACTAATACACTCACTCATACACTCACTTATACACTCACTCACACACTCACTCACTCATACACTCACTTATACACTCACTTATACACTCACTAGTACACTCACTCACACACTCACTCACTTACACACTCACTTATACACTCACTTACACACTCATTTATACACTTATACACTCATACACTCACTCATACACTCACTCATACACTCACTTATACAGTCATACACTCACTTATACACTCACTTATACACTCACTTATACACTTATACACTCACTCATACAGTCATACACTCATTCATGCAGTCACTCACTCATACACTCACTCATACACTCACTCACTCATACACTCACTCACTCATACACTCACTCATACACTCACTCACTCATACACTCACTCATACACTCACTCACTCACTTATACACTCACTTATACACTCACTTATACACTCACTTATACACTCACTAGTACACTCACTCACTCACTTATACACTCACTTATACACTCACTTATACACTCACTTATACACTCACTTATACACTCACTCATACACTCACTTATACACTCACTTATACACTCACTTATACACTCACTTATACACTCACTTATACACTCACTTATACACTCACTTATACACTCACTAATACACTCACTTATACACTCACTCATACACTCACTTATACACTCACTTATACACTCACTTATACACTCACTAATACATATACTCACTCATACACTCATTTATACAGTCACTCATACACTCACACACTCAGTCACTCACTCATACACTCACTTACACACTCAGTCAGTCAGTCACTCACACACTCACACACTCACTTACACACTCATACACTCACTGATACACTCACTCACTCACTCATACACACATACTCTCACTTACACACTCATACACTCACTCATACACTCACTGTGTGTGTGTATGTACTGTGTGTGTGACTGTGTGTGTGTGTGACTGTGTGTGTGTGACTGTGTGTGTGTGTGTGTGTGACTGTGTCTGTGTGTGTGTGTGACTGTGTGTGTGTCTGTATCTGTGTGTGTCTGTGTGTGTGTCTGTGTGTGTGACTGTGTGTGTCTGTGTGTGTGTGTGACTGTGTGTGTGTGACTGTGTGTGTGACTGTGTGTCTGTGTGTGACTGTGTGTACTGTGTGTGTGACTGTGTGTGTGTGTGACTGTGTATGTGTGACTGTGTGTGTGTGTGTGACTGTGTATGTGTGACTGTGTGTGTGTGTGACTGTGTGTGTGACTGTGTGTGTGTGTGACTGTGTGTGTGTGACTGTGTGTGTGTGACTGTGTGTGTGTGACTGTGTGACTGTGTGTGACTGTGTGTGTGACTGTGTGTGTGTGTATGTGTGTGACTGTGTGTGTGACTGTGTGTGACTGTGTGTGACTGTGTGTGACTGTGACTGTGTGTGTGACTGTGTGTGACTGTGTGTGACTGTGTGTGTGTGTGACTGTGTGACTGTGTGACTGTGTGTGTGACTGTGTGTCTGTGTATGTGTGTGACTGTGTGTGACTGTGTGTGTGTCTGTGTGTGTGTGTGACTGTGTGTGTGTCTGTGTGTGTGTGTGACTGTGTGTCTGTGTGTGTGTTGTGTGTCTGTGTATGTGTGTGACTGTGTGTGTGTGACTGTGTGTGTGACTGTGTGTGTGACTGTGTGTGACTGTGTGTGTGACTGTGTGTCTGTGTGTGTGTCTGTGTGTGTGTCTGTGTGTGTGTGTGAGACTGTGTGACTGTGTGTGTGTGTCTGTGTGTCTGTGTGTGTGTGACTGTGTGTGTGACTGTGTGTGGGTGACTGTGTGACTGTGTGTGTGTGACTGTGTGTGACTGTGTGTGTGACTGTGTGTGTGACTGTGTGACTGTGTGTGTGTGACTGTGTGACTGTGTGTGTGACTGTGTGTGTGACTGTGTGTGTGACTGTGTGTGACTGTGTGTTTGTGTGACTGTGTGTGACTGTGTGTGTGACTGTGTGTGTGTGACTGTGTGTGACTGTGTGTGTGTGTGTGTGACTGTGTGTGTGTGTGAGACTGTGTGACTGTGTATCTGTGTGTGTGTCTGTGTGTCTGTGTATGTGTGTGACTGTGTGTGTGACTGTGTGTGACTGTGTGTGACTGTGTGTGACTGTGTGGGTGTGTCTGTGTGTGTGTGACTGTGTGTGTGACTGTGTGTGTGACTGTGTGTGTGACTGTGTGTGACTGTGTGACTGTGTGTGTGTGACTGTGTGTGTGACTGTGTGACTGTGTGTGACTGTGTGTGTGTGACTGTGTGTCTGTGTGTGTGACTGTGTGTGACTGTGTGTGACTGTGTGTGTGTGTGACTGTGTGACTGTGTGTGTGTGTGTGACTGTGTGTGTGTGTGACTGTGTGTGTGTGTGACTGTGTGTGACTGTGTGTGTGACTGTGTGTGTGTGACTGTGTGTGACTGTGTGTGACTGTGTGTGACTGTGTGTGTGTGTGTGTGTGACTGTGTGTGACTGTGTGTGACTGTGTCTGTGACTGTGTGTGACTGTGTGTGACTGTGTGACTGTGTGTGTGACTGTGTGTGTGTGACTGTGTGTGTGACTGTGTGTGACTGTGTGTGTGTGTGACTGTGTGTGACTGTGTGTGTGTCTGTGCGTGTGTGTCTGTGTGTCTGTGTGTGTGTGTCTGTGTGACTGTGTGTCTGTGTGACTGTGTGTGTGTCTGTGTGACTGTGTGTGTGTGACTGTGTGTGACTGTGTGTGTGACTGTGTGTGACTGTGTGTGACTGTGTGTGTGTGTGACTGTGTGTGACTGTGTGTGACTGTGTGTGTGTGTGACTGTGTGTGACTGTGTGTGTGTGACTGTGTGTGACTGTGTGTGTGTGTGTGACTGTGTGTGTGACTGTGTGTGTGTGACTGTGTGTGTGTGTGACTGTGTGTGACTGTGTGTGTGTGGCTGTGTGACTGTGTGTGTGTGTCACTGTGTGTGTGTGTGACTGTGTGACTGTGTGTGTGACTGTGTGACTGTGTGTGACTGTGTGTGTGTGTGACTGTGTGTGTGACTGTCTGTGTGTGTGACTGTGTGTGTGACTGTGTGTGTGTGACTGTGTGACTGTGTGTGTGTGTGACTGTGTGTGACTGTGTGTGTGTGTGACTGTGTGTGACTGTGTGTGTGTGTGACTGTGTGTGTGTGTGACTGTGTGTGTGACTGTGTGTGTGTGTGACTGTGTGTGTGTGTGTGTGTGACTGTGTGTGTGTGTGTGACTGTGTGTGTGTGTGTGACTGTGTGTGTGTGACTGTGTGTGACTGTGTGTGTGTGTGACTGTGTGTGACTGTGTGTGACTGTGTGACTGTGTATGTGTGACTGTGTGTGACTGTGTGTGACTGTGTGTGACTGTGTGTGACTGTGTGACTGTGTATGTGTGACTGTGTGTGACTGTGTGTGACTGTGTGTGACTGTGTGTGACTGTGTATGTGTGACTGTGTGTGACTGTGTGTGTGTGACTGTGTGTGTGTGTGACTGTGTGTGACTGTGACTGTGTGTGTGTGACTGTGTGTGTGACTGTGTGTGACTGTGTGTGACTGTGTGACTGTGTGTGTGTGTGACTGTGTGTGACTGTGTGTGTGTGTGACTGTGTGTGACTGTGTGTGTGTGTGACTGTGTGTGTGACTGTGTGTGTGTGACTGTGTGTGTGTGTGTGACTGTGTGTGACTGTGTGTGACTGTGTGTGTGTGACTGTGTGTGACTGTGTGTGACTGTGTGTGTGTGACTGTGTGTGTGTGTGTGACTGTGTGACTGTGTGTGTGTGTGTGTCTGTGTGTGTGACTGTGTGTGTGTGTGTGACTGTGTGTGACTGTGTGACTGTGTGTGTGACTGTGTGTGACTGTGTGTGTGACTGTGACAGGTGAATCACCTATCCAAGAGACACCCAGAGATGCCCCTGGCTGAAGTCCCTGAACTGACACTGCCCATCATCAAGCCTAACAGAGATTATTATTGTCAGTACTGTGACAAGGTGGGTGGGTGGTGGGTGGGTGGTGGGTGGGTGTGTGGGTGGGTGGGTGAGTGAGTGGGTGGGTGAGTAAGTGGGTGGGTGAGTGGGTGAGTGGGTGGGTGAGTGGGCGGGTGGGTGAGTGAGTGAGTGAGTGGGTGAGTGAGTGGGTGAGTGAGTGGGTGGGTGGGTGGGTGAGTGGATGGGTGGGTGGGTGAGTGAGTGGGTGGGTGAGTGGGTGAGTGGGTGGGTGAGTGGGTGGGTGAGTGGTTGGGTGGGTGGGTGAGTGAGTGAGTGGGTGGGTGGGTGGGTGAGTGAGTGAGTGAGTGGGTGAGTGAGTTAGTGGGTGAGTGGGTGAGTGATTGAGTGAGTGAGTGGGTGGGTGAGTGAGTGGGTGGGTGGGTGGGTGAGTGAGTGAGTGAGTGGGTGGGTGGGTGGGGGGGTGGGTGGGTGAGTGAGTTAGTGGGTGAGTGAGTGGGTGAGTGAGTGGGTGGGTGAGTGAGTGAGTGGGTGAGTGGGTGAGTGGGTGAGTGAGTGGGTGGGTGAGTGGGTGAGTGAGTGGGTGAGAGAGTGAGTGGGTGGTTGGTGGGGGGGTGGGTGGGTGTGTGGGTGGGTGAGTGGGTGGGTGGGTGAGTGAGTGAGTGGGTGGGTGGGTGAGTGAGTAGGTGAGTGAGTGAGTGACTGGTTGAGTGAGTGATTGAGTGATTGGTTGAGTGGGTGAATGATTGAGTGAGTGAGTGATTGAGTGAGTGAGTGGGTGGGTGGGTGAGTGAGTAGGTGAGTGAGTGAGTGACTGGGTGAGTGAGTGATTGAGTGATTGGTTGAGTGGGTGAATGATTGAGTGAGTGAGTGATTGAGTGAGTGAGTGGGTGGGTGAGTGAGTAGGTGAGTGAGTGAGTGACTGGTTGAGTGAGTGAGTGGGTGAGTGAGTTATTGAGTGAGTGAGTGAGTGGGTGGGTGAGTGGGTGGGTGGGTGAGTGAGTGGGTGGGTGAGTGGGTGGGTGAGTGAGTGGGTGGGTGGGGGGGTGGGTGGGTGGGTGGGGGGTGGGTGAGTGAGTGGGTGAGTGAGTGAGTGAGTGGGTGAGTGAGTGGGTGAGTGGGTGAGTGAGTGGGTGAGTGAGTGGGGTTGTGAGTGGGTGAGTGAGTGGGTGGGTGAGTGGGTGAGTGAGTGGGTGGGTGGGTGGGTGAGTGACTGGTTGAGTGAGTGAGTGGGTGAGTGAGTTATTGAGTGAGTGAGTGGGTGAGTGATTGTGTGGGTGAATGATTGAGTGAGTGGGTGAGTGAGTTATTGAGTGAGTGAGTGAGTGGGTGAGTGGGTGAGTGGGTGGGTGAGTGGGTGGGTGGGTGAGTGAGTGGGTGACTGGTTGAGTGAGTGATTGATTGACTGGTTGAGTGGGTGAATGATTGAGTGGGTGAGTGAGTGATTGAGTGAGTGAGTGAGTGGGTGGGTGAGTGAGTTAGTGGGTGAGTGGGTGAGTGAGTGAGTGAGTGGGTGGGTGGGTGAGTGAGTGAGTGGGTGGGTGGGTGGGTGGTGGGTGGTGGGGGGGTGGGTGGGTGGGTGGGTGGGTGAGTGATTGAGTGAGTGGGTGAGTGAGTGGGTGGGTGAGTGAGTGGGTGAGTGATTGAGTGAGTGGTGGGTGGGTGAGTGAGTGAGTGGGTGAGTGATTGAGTGAGTGGTGGGTGGGTGAGTGAGTGGGTGGGTGGGTGGGTGAGTGGGTGGGTGGGTGAGTGAGTGAGTGGGTGGGTGGGTGGGTGAGTGGGTGGGTGACTGGTTGAGTGAGTGATTGAGTGACTGGTTGAGTGGGTGAATGATTGAGTGGGTGAGTGAGTGGGCGGGTGGGTGGGTGAGTGGGTGAGTGGGTGGGTGAGTGGGTGGGTGGGTGGGGGGGTGGGTGGGTGGGTGGGTGAGTGAGTGGGTGACTGGTTGAGTGGGTGGGTGGGTGAGTGGGTGGGTGGGTGAGTGGGTGGGTGAGTGAGTGGGTGACTGGTTGAGTGAGTTATTGAGTGAGTGAGTGGGTGGGTGAGTGAGTGAGTTAGTGAGTGAGTGGGTGGGTGGGTGAGTGAGTGGGTGAGTGGGTGAGTGGGTGGGTGAGTGGGTGGGTGAGTGGGTGGGTGAGTGGGTGGGTGGTGGGTGGGTGAGTGGGTGGGTGGGTGGGTGAGTGGGTGAGTGGGTGGGTGAGTGGGTGGGTGGGTGAGTGGGGGGGGGTGGGTGGGTGGGTGAGTGAGTGAGTGGGTGAGTGGGTGAGTGGGTGAGTGAGTGAGTGGGTGAGTGGGTGAGTGAGTGAGTGAGTGGGTGGGTGAGTGGGTGAGTGAGTGACTGGGTGGATGTGTGGGTGAGTGGGTGAGTGGGTGAGTGAGTGGGTGAGTGGGTGGGTGGGTGAGTGGGTGGGTGGGTGAGTGGGTGGGTGAGTGAGTGAGTGACTGGTTGAGTGAGTGAGTGGGTGGGTGAGTGAGTGGGTGAGTGAGTGGGTGGGTGGGTGGGTGGGTGAGTGAGTGGGTGACTGGTTGAGTGAGTTATTGAGTGAGTGAGTGGGTGGGTGAGTGAGTGAGTGGGTGAGTGAGTGAGTGAGTGGGTGGGTGGGTGAGTGGGTGGGTGAGTGGGTGAGTGGGTGGGTGAGTGGGTGGGTGAGTGGGTGGGTGAGTGGGTGGGTGGTGGGTGGGTGAGTGGGTGGGTGGGTGGGTGGGTGAGTGGGTGAGTGGGTGGGTGAGTGGGTGGGTGGGTGAGTGGGGGGGGTGGGTGGGTGGGTGAGTGAGTGAGTGGGTGAGTGGGTGAGTGGGTGAGTGAGTGAGTGAGTGGGTGAGTGGGTGAGTGAGTGAGTGAGTGGGTGGGTGAGTGGGTGAGTGAGTGACTGGGTGGATGTGTGGGTGAGTGGGTGAGTGGGTGAGTGAGTGGGTGAGTGGGTGGGTGGGTGAGTGGGTGGGTGGGTGAGTGGGTGGGTGAGTGAGTGAGTGACTGGTTGAGTGAGTGAGTGGGTGAATGAGTGGGTGGGTGAGTGAGTGGGTGAGTGAGTGGGTGGGTGGGTGAGTGAGTGGGTGGGTGGGTGAGTGGGTGGGTGGGTGGGTGAGTGGGTGGGTGGGTGGGGGGTTGGTGAGTGGGTGGGTGGGTGGGTGAGTGGTTGGGTGAGTGGGTGGGTGAGTGGGTGAGTGGGTGGGTGAGTGGGTGAGTGGGTGAGTGGGTGGGTGAGTGGGTGGGTGAGTGGGTGGGTGGGTGGGTGAGTGAGTGAGTGAGTGGGTGAGTGAGTGTGTGTGTGGGTGAGTGGGTGGGTGTGTGAGTGGGTGGGTGGGTGGGTGAGTGGGTGGGTGGGTGGGTGAGTGAGTGAGTGGGTGGGTGGGTGAGTGGGTGAGTGGGTGAGTGGGTGGGGGGTGGGTGGGTGAGTGGGTGAGTGAGTGGTTTGGTGAGTGGGTGAGTGGGTGGGTGAGTGGGGGGGTGGGTGGGTGAGTGGGGGGGTGGATGGGTGAGTGAGTGGGTGAGTGGGTGAGTGGGTGGTTGAGTGGGTGGGTGATTGAGTGAGTGTATGAGTGAGTGACTGCCTGACTGAGTGACTGACTGACTGAGTGTATGATTGAGTGACTGACTGAGTGACTGACTGCCTGACTGAGTGACTGACTGACTGACTGAGTGTATGAGTGAGTGACTGACTGAGTGATTGACTGAGGGACTGACTGACTGACTGAGTGACTGAATGACTGACTGGCTGACTGACTGACTGAATGACTCACTGGCTGACTGACTGCCTGACTGACTGAGTGATTGACTGAGTGAGTGAGTGTATGAGTGAGTGACTAAATGACTGAGTGAGTGAGTGTATGAGTGAGTGACTGAGTGAGTGAATGACTGACTGAGTGTATGAGTGAGTCACTGACTGACTGAGTGACTGAATGACTAACTGGCTGACTGACTGACTGAGTGACTGACTGAGTGAGTGAGTGTATGAGTGAGTGACTGAGTGAGTGAATGACTGACTGAGTGTATGAGTGAGTCACTGACTGACTGAGTGACTGAATGACTAACTGGCTGACTGACTGACTGAGTGACTGACTGAGTGAGTGAGTGTATGAGTGAGTGACTGAGTGAGTGAGTGTATGAGTGAGTGACTAAATGACTGACTGAGTGAGTGAGTGTATGAGTGAGTGACTGACTGAGTGACTGACTGACTGAATGACTGACTGAGTGAGTGACTGACTGACTGAGTGTATGAGTGAGTGACTGACTGACTGACTGAATGACTCACTGGCTGACTGACTGCCTGACTGACTGACTGGCTGACTGACTGAGTGATTGACTGAGTGAGTGAGTGTATGAGTGAGTGACTAAATGACTGACTGAGTGAGTGAGTGTATGAGTGAGTGACTGACTGAGTGAGTGATTGACTGAATGACTGACTGAGTGAGTGGCTGACTGACTGACTGAGTGAGTGAGTGTATGAGTGAGTGACTGACTGAGTGACTGACTGACTGAATGACTGACTGACTGACTGAGTGAGTGTATGAGTGAGTGTATGAGTGAGTGACTAAATGACTGACTGAGTGAGTGAGTGACTGAGTGAGTGACTGACTGAGTGACTGACTGCCTGACTGAGTGACTGACTGACTGAGTGTATGAGTGAGTGACTGACTGAGTGACTGACTAAGTGACTGAATGACTGACTGAGTGTATGAGTGAGTGACTGACTGACTGAGTGATTGAATGACTGACTGGCTGACTGACTGAGTGAGTGAGTGTATGAGTGAGTGACTGAGTGACTGACTGCCTGACTGCCTGACTGACTGAGTGAGTGTATGAGTGAGTGTATGAGTGAGTGACTGAGTGACTGACTGCCTGACTGCCTGACTGACTGAGTGAGTGTATGAGTGAGTGTATGAGTGAGTGACTAAATGACTGACTGAGTGAGTGAGTGACTGAGTGAGTGACTGACTGAGTGACTGACTGCCTGACTGAGTGACTGACTGACTGAGTGTATTAGTGAGTGACTGACTGAGTGACTGACTGACTGACTGAGTGACTGAATGACTGACTGACTGAGTGTATGAGTGAGTGACTGACTGACTGAGTGATTGAATGACTGACTGGCTGACTGACTGACTGAGTGACTGACTGAGTGAGTGAGTGTATGAGTGAGTGACTGAGTGACTGACTGACTGACTGCCTGACTGACTGACTGAGTGATTGTATGAGTGACTGACTGAGTGTATGAGTGTATGACTGACTGACTGACTGAATGACTGAGTGACTGAATGACTGACTGACTGAATGACTGACTGACTGAGTGAGTCTATGAGTGACTGACTGAGTGAGTGAGTGTATGAGTGAGTGACTGACTGACTGAGTGACTGACTGACTGAATGACTGACTGACTGAGTGACTGACTGAGTGAGTCTATGAGTGACTGACTGAGTGAGTGAGTGTATGAGTGTATGACTGACTCACTGACTGTCTGACTGACTGACTGACTGACTGTATGACTGACTGACTGCCTGACTATCCCACCACCACCACCACCGCCACAGGTCTACAAGAGCGCCAGCAAGCGGAAATCTCACATCCTGAAGAATCATCCCGGCTACGATCTCCCCCCCAGCATCCGCAAGCTCCGACTGGGCCTCACCGGCATCGGTAGCGGCGGAGTTCCCGGTGGGGCTGTGCCGGGAGAGTCGGACGCTTCGCTGTGTACCCACACGCAGCTCACCGGCACCGTGGCTAGCGCCCCCGTCTGTTGCCCGCATTGCAGCAAACAGTACAGCAGCAAGGTTGTGGTGGTGGTGGTGGTGGTGCACTCAGTTAGATAGTTATACACTCAGTTAGATAGTTATACACTCAGTTAGATAGTTATACACTCAGTTAGATAGTTATACACTCAGTTAGATAGTTATACATTCAGTTAGATAGTTATACACTCAGTTAGTTAGTTATACACTCAGTTAGATAGTTATACACTCAGTTAGATAGTTATACATTCAGTTAGATAGTTATACACTCAGTCAGTTAGTTATACACTCAGTTAGTTAGTTATACACTCAGTTAGTTAGTTATACACTCAGTTAGTTAGTTATACACTCAGTTAGTTAGTTATACACTCAGTTAGATAGTTATACACTCAGTTAGATAGTTATACACTCAGTTAGATAGTTATACACTCAGTTAGATAGTTATACATTCAGTTAGATAGTTATACATTCAGTTAGATAGTTATACACTCAGTTAGTTAGTTATACACTCAGTTAGTTAGTTATACACTCAGTTAGTTATACACTCAGTTAGTTAGTTATACACTCAGTTAGTTAGTTATACACTCAGTTAGTTAGTTATACACTCGGTTAGTTAGTTATACACTCAGTTAGTTAGTTATACAGTCAGTTAGTTAGTTATACACTCAGTTAGTTAGTTATACACTCAGTTAGTTATACACTCGGTTAGTTAGTTATCACTCAGCCAGTTAGTTATACACTCAGTTAGTTAGTTATACACTCAGTTAGTTATACACTCAGTTAGTTAGTTATATAGTTAGTTAGTTAGTTATACACTCAGGCAGTTAGTTATACACTCCGTTAGTTAGTTATACACTCAGTTAGTTAGTTATACACTCAGTTAGTTATACAGTTAGTTAGTTAGTTATACACTCAGTTAGTTAGTTATACACTCAGTTAGTTAGTTATACACTCAGTTAGTTAGTTATACACTCAGTTAGTTAGTTATACACTCAGTTAGTTAGTTATACATTCAGTTAGATAGTTATACACTCAGTTAGTTAGTTATACACTCAGTTAGTTAGTTATACACTCAGTTAGTTAGTTATACATTCAGTTAGATAGTTATACACTCAGTTAGTTAGTTATACACTCGGTTAGTTGGTCATACACTCGGTTAGTTGGTCATACACTCGGTTAGTTGGTCATACACTCGGTTAGTTGGTCATACACTCGGTTAGTTGGTCATACACTCGGTTAGTTGGGCATACACTCGGTTAGTTGGTCATACACTGGGTTAGTTGGTCATACACTGGGTTAGTTGGTCATACACTGGGTTAGTTGGTCATACACTCGGTTAGTTGGTCATACACTCGGTTAGTTGGTCATACACTCGGTTAGTTAGTTATACACTCAGTTAGTTAGTTATACACTCAGTTAGTTAGTTATACACTCAGACAGTTAGTTATACACTCAGTTAGTTAGTTATACACTCAGTTAGTTAGTTATACACTCAGTTAGTTAGTTTACACTCAGTTAGTTAGTATCACTCAGTTAGTTAGTTTATACCAGGTTAGTTATTATACACTCGGTCAGTTAGTTTACACTCAGTTAGTTAGTTATACACTCAGTTAGTTAGTTATACACTCAGTTTAGTTAGTTATACACTCAGTTAGTTAGTTATACACTCAGTTAGTTAGTTATACACTCAGTTAGTTAGTTATACACTCAGTAGTTAGTTATACACTCAGTTAGTTTAGTTTATACACTCAGTTAGTTAGTTATACACTCAGGCAGTTAGTTATACACTCAGTTAGTCAGTTATACACTCAGTTAGTTAGTTATACACTCAGTTAGTTAGTCATACACTCAGTTAGTTAGTTATACACTCAGTTAGTTATACACTCGGTTAGTTAGTTATACACTCAGTTAGTTAGTTATACACTCAGTTAGTTAGTTATACACTCAGTTAGTTAGTTATACACTCAGTTAGTTAGTTATACACTCAGTTAGTTAGTTATACACTCAGTTAGTTAGTTATACACTCAGTTAGTTAGTTATACACTCAGTTAGTTAGTTATACACTCAGTTAGTTAGTTATACACTCAGTTAGTTAGTTATACACTCAGTTAGTTAGTTATACACTCAGTTAGTTAGTTATACACTCAGTTAGTTAGTTATACACTCAGTTAGTTAGTTATACACTCAGTTAGTTAGTTATACACTCAGTTAGTTAGTTATACACTCAGTTAGTTAGTTATACACTCAGTTAGTTAGTTATACACTCAGTTAGTTAGTTATACACTCAGTTAGTTAGTTATACACTCAGTTAGTTAGTTATACACTCAGTTAGTTAGTTATACACTCAGTAGTTAGTTATACACTCAGTTAGTTAGTTATACACTCAGGTTAGTTAGTTATACACTCAGTTAGTTAGTTATACACTCAGTTAGTTAGTTATACACTCAGTTAGTTAGTTATACACTCAGTTAGTTAGTTATACACCAG